ACCTGGTGGAAGGTTGGTGAAAATATAAAGTTCTACAAATGATTATTTGAATTACTGAAAATATGTTCGATCTCTTGTCACGTGCTGTGCCCAATGATAGTACGTTCAATAAATCCTATGGTAAAATTTCGTAATGAGGCAAGGACGAGTGGAATTTCCTCTGATGTTTGCGATATTTCTTAACTTGTTGCCCCAGCCGATACGAACGACTGAAACTAGAACATCATAAAGTGATCAACATCTGCGGATGATATCCTAATTCTAGTGGACTGCTTCGAAGCTGTGACTTCACTGTTCCTGATTCTGAAACAATTGTTCTGATCTCGGTCGATTAAAGACGAAGTGCTTGGAAACTGATTGGACTCTAACCCATAGCACTGAAGTCTTGGAAAAGGTGCCAGAACATCTGTACCTTTGGAGTACATTGACTACAGGCGAACGAGTGGCAATAAAAAATACATTAGCTCTGAGCAACAAGTTCTGGATGGACAAAAATGTTGATAATGGCAATAAGCGGCGAATGTACAGGGCTTGCATTCTGAACATCTTGCTGTCTGACTTGAAGACTTTAATAATTAACAAAAACAGAGAACTGGAAACATTTAAGTGAAAATTGTAAGATCAGTATATGGAGTGAGGTGGTATGGTTTGAGGAATAGCGCTGCTGTAGGATAAAGATTAGAATATCCAACTAACGTGATGTACTGCATGCAAACGAGACGTTTAAGATGGTTGGGTCCTATACTACGAATGGACGATGACCACTTTGCGAAGCGGATGCTGAACTCAGTTTTATGAGAGGCGGAAAACTTCCAACAAACTTGGAAGAACTCGTTAGAAGTGACAGTGAAATGATTGAAGAGTGGGCACTCATTCGATCAGGTTGTTCTGCACACAACAATGGTTGTTCTGCACCCAACATGCTGGATAAATAGAAGAAAAGTCATGGTTGTCTTCAAATATGCCTGGCTTTAAACAAAGTATAGCTCGAATTCTGAACTGAGCCCTGTCAAGATGTCAGTCAGCAGTTCAGCTAAGGCTCTGCTGACTGTTATATTGATTGACATCCATAAATGTTGTGTTCTGTCTGACCAGTATTCTCATGACAGTAAACATTCTACCACCAAGCCGGGTTTCGCGTTGTTACTACTCCATTGCTGTTAGATGCTTATGAGAATGTCAACTCAAATATAACTTGGCACTTGTCGTGCACAGATCTCTCTTATATCGTTTTTTTGTTGATAAAACTATTTTTTCACCACTTAAAGTCTCTAACATTCTGCGACGAAATTCTGTGTTCCTGCGGGCGTTGTATGAGACAGAAAGAAGTTAACTGAGGAGTGATATGTGACAGCATCCCAAGATAAACAGTGGTAGTTTCTTTCACAGAAATATGAAACAAAAGTTAAATTAAAGATTCAGCAGTTGCCTTTAAGGTGAATCTTCTTTTTGCAGAATCTTTTCTTTAGCGTTCAGTGTTTTATTCCGTTGTTCCGATGTCGAATGCTTGGTATTAATTATGTTTCTAATGACCGTTATATTAATGGATTAGTGACAGTAAATTTATCTGGTTTTTATATTTGCGTTCGTTTCCTGTTTAAAATATTTATCTATTAGTTAAGGCATAAATGTTTAAGGAAACGATGATTTGTTTGTTCTCATCTTTTCACCGTTAATAATCGTCTCTTAGTTACAGTTAGTCCACATGATGTATTTATTGCGATTATCGGTTATAACTTTTGATAAATATGTTAAATTGTTTCTAGAAGTGACCCTGTACACACAGTCTAGTTTCCGAAATGCATTTAAACTACTATATAAGAGAAACGTTGAATAAGTTGCCGGAAACTCGTGGAATCCTTTCTGTGAACTTTCCGGGTATACGGAGTATGAGTTTTCTAAATTTGTGAAGAGAACAATCCATCCAGCAGCAGCTGACGATGTCAGCATGAAAGATCAGTCAGAAACGCATTACCCATGCAACTTTTCAGTAATAGACTTGTCTTTAAAGCAAAGGAGCTATAATTTTGTTTTCTCCTGCGAGCTATTCCTACACAGTTTTTCGTTCATGTGAGATGTCAGCGAGACTACCCGTCATTTGTTTGCTTTAGATGTCATTCTGCAGTAAGATGGGACCTTGACACCTCTATGCCTTACCATGCAGATTGTCGTTCGGGTGACTTTGGTGAGTTTTACCTTGAGTAGCCAAGAGTCTTATCTGTCCTTTCTTTTACATCTCTGATTAAACAATCGATAGCGATTAATGCTAGGCTAGAATGATGCCTGCTCTGTGAGGAAATGTAAGTTATTAACTATTCAAGTTTAAAAATATATTAACGCATTTTTAGTAACTCACTGCGGGTCGTTGACTGCGTCAGCTAAGGCCAACCCCGTGCGTGCGATACGTAAATTTGTGCAGTCACCCAACGATTCACTGGCTAGTAACTGTCAATCACTTAATATGCAAATGGTAATTCCGGCGGTTAAGCGGAACAACTTGGTTTTACTCTTTACCATTAATAGTATTCTCAGACCATATTTTGCGCTTTATCTTATAATTCTATTTTTTATTACGTTTCTGTTTCCTCTAATCACGGTTATTCAAGAGAAGAATGTAGTAATGTTTCTTCTCTTCAAACATTGTTCGAATTTCTCAATTTTGATCATTTAGCAATTCCATTTTTGATATGATCAAAAAATTGTTTACTGTAAGTCTTTGTGTTCTAGCTGTTCATCATCGTTTCCCTGATCCTACAAAGAAATCCAGAGCTTCATTTTTCTGGACAAGTCAATCTTGATAACGTACGCGGGCGAGTACTTTGTAAACTGAATCACTGTTTGATTATTTAGTTAATACAAATCGCATTCGAAGCTTTCTGCAAGGACAGCAGTATTCAGGATACGACCGATATGACTCCATTTCTCAAGCTTAAGCCTCAAGTCAGAGCGGGCACATCTACTTACCTGGCCAAGGTATGATTAATTCTCACTCTCTCGCTGCCACGGTTTTTTTTCGTTGAATATGCTATTTATTGTTTATTAAATTAAGCTTTAAACGCTTTTCGATTGCCCGCCATGTTTAAATAACTTTTTGATAAATCTCAAAGCATATTGATGAGAGAAAACTTTTATTCACATGCGCACAGCATGCAACGACGTACAAGTGTACCTGATTTCAACTATCCCTAACAGCGCTTTTCAGGAGAATGTTTTTGAAGCCCGGTCTGTAGTATGGCATTCTATGGAGTATGTGCGTATTTGTATGAATGAAAGGTTTCTAACTCTAAGTTCTTAAATACTGCAAACTCGGATTTCGCGTATACTGTACTGCACCTTTTCTCTGTCTTACATGCCTGCCTGTGACCCGAAAGCACAAGCGGTCATCAAAACTGACTGTCTGAACGGATCCTTCTGAGATCGTTGCCGTGACGTGGTTTAGTGATGGTCGAGACTATGGCAGGAGTAGATTCGCCTTCTACGACCACCCGTGCTGGACAACTTTGAGACAAGACGCCAGACTAAGTGCTATCAATAGATACTATCTTTCAACAGTCCATTTTTGAGAATGGAATGAACAAGAAATCAAGGAATTCGTATGCTGCATCGGTCTTCATGCAGATAAAGTGGGCCGTGGGGCAGATTTAGTCCGAGACTCTGTCGTCTACACAGCGTACTGTAAAATCGTCAGAGAGCGGCATCGGTGGAGGCTCGACATTAACAGCCGCGATGTGCGATGGTAGCGCATAGCATATCGTTA